CGGCGGCGGAGGCCGAGAGACCCGCTGCGGCTCCGTCACCGGAGAGGGAGGGCCCCGCTGCCGTCGGTGAGGCCGGGCCCCAGCGGGTGGGGAGGGTCCTGCGGTGTGAACGCGCCCCTGGCCCGGCTTTCCCGGGGTCCCAAGGGCAGGTGCTGGGGAGGCGGGGGGTGGGGAGGAGGTGTGTCCCGACCGTGCGTCCCGGAGCCCAGGCCGCCTCCTTGTCGGTCCCCTGAGATTCCTGTCTCCTCGGTCCTCCTTCCTCCAAGACACCAGACCCTGGACTGAGCTCCGACACCCCAAATCGGCCCCGCATTGACCCGCCTTTCCTTGGTCGGGTCCGCCGCGCCCGCTGCTGCGCCCCCACCGGGTGCACCCCCCAGCCTCCGGATCTTTGCGGAGACGTCCTGGTGACCTTGCACTTTCTGACCCCCACCCGCCTCCAGATTCTGTAGAATTTAGAGACCCGTGGTGGCTTTCAAACTTTGTGACTGACCCAACACTGGGAAATAAATTTGACGTGTGTGCCCTGCGCCTGCCTCGTAGACTACAGAGCCACAAGTTTAAAGTGAGACGCTTCCCCAAGCGCACATGACGCGACCATTCGTCCCAGGTCACTGTTCCATTCCGGTCCACTCGGTTCGGAAGGCTGTTACCGACCCAGCTAGCGCTTCAGGACTCAGTGGCTCTGAGCCCGGCGTGAACCCTGCCCTAAGCCCCGGGCTTGTGCAGGGGGTGCTGAGCTCCGTGGGAAGACAGTCGCGGGGAAACTTCTGGTCCAGGTCCAGGGAAGGTCTGTTTTACTGGGACACTTCTACTTTCCAGGGCCGGTACCATTTCCGGGACTTGGCTTAGACTTTCTGGTGTGATTTATCTCGTTTCTCTTTCCAATGCTGCTATTCGGACTTGTGGAGCGGAGCGTAGGTGGAGTCAGGGCCAGATTGTGGAGCCGGGAAGGTGGAGCTGAGGATGCGCCCAGCTGTGGGGACAGCGATTGTGCTGGAGAGGGCTGAGGTCCGAGAGCGACCTGCAGGCACCGCAGGGCTAGAGTGGCGCCTGGCGGACCCGACCGCATCTGCAGGGCCAGAGCTGGTAGTGAACAGGCCAGCTGGATGCCATGGGGTGGGAAGGAGCCGGAAGTGGGTGTGATGGGGGAGGGAATAAGGTTTGGAGACTTCAGGCTAGGTAAAAGAGTGAAACTATAAACCCTAGGGAGATTAGGGGTATGCACTGGGGGCCACCGGCTGGACTCTCTCTGTGCCCTTTATGTTTCTTTTTCTTTTACAGAATTATTTATTGTTATTATTTTAATTTGCTATATAGGGCATATGTGCTCCCCAGAGACAGACAGGCTGGGGGTGGGGGGAGATAAAGCAAGCTACCAGCTCCAGGACTGTGCTGTGGTCACCACGTGGGGGTCCAGCACCTTCACCACCTACCACATCACCTGCTGGGCCCCGGTGCCCTTTCCATCCCCCCCCCATTATTTAATTACTTCTTTTTAGTTTGCTACAGGGCATGCACGCTCACCAGAGAGAGAGAGAGACAGAGAAAGTGATAAAGCAAAAAGCTGGCACATGCTCTCTGCCTGCAAGCCTGGCTGGCTGGGGCTGCGAGCAGCTTGCTGCACGGAGACTCTGCCCCAGCTCCCCGCCCAGATAAATAAACTGATTTTTTGGAAAGACTTTTGCTATAGGGCATGTGCATTCACTGGACAGAGAGACAGAAAGTGAGAAAGCACCCCCCCGTGAGAATGGCCACACTGCAATCCCTTCTCTTCCATTCTCCTCTTGGGATTTTGGATGTGCACACACAGATGTACCCAGTATGAGCTCCAAGCTGCCACATCCAGGACTTGAACCACAGTTGGAATCCAGTGCCTTAACCATTATGCCACCTGCTGGCCTCAGTAAACTAATTTTTAACAAAACACCAATGGTGTCAAGCATGTGAAAACCTGTTTGAGTAGTAATTCTTACCCTTTTTATTTTTAAGAATTATTTTATTAAAAAAAAGAATTATTTTATTTATTATTACTATTAGTTTAATTAGACCAGAGAAAAAAAGTAACCAGGTCCAGGACCAACTGCAGTTGGCCATGTGGGAGTCCAGTGCCTTAACCACCACACCACCTGCTGGTCCCAATAATTCTTTTGGGGCGTCATTATCTCTCGGTTTCCCTGTGGCACACACAGGGCCTGTAAGTAACTGTTGGAGGGCTTGTGAACCGGCAGAACAAAGCTCTAAACGCCAGCTCATTAGTGGGGGATGGTCCACCTTTAGGATCACCCACGAACTTTTGTTTTTTTCTTAAAGATTTTTTGTCATAAGGTACATGTACTCACCAGAGAGAGACAGTAGAGGGAAAGTGATATATCACCCCCTGGGGGGAGGGCAAACCCTTTTCCTCCATTCTTCACTCAGGATTTTGGGCACTCATGCATATACCTAGTGTGATTTTTTTTTCTTTCTAAAGAATTAACTTTATTTATTTAATTTTACCAGCGAAAGTAAGAAAGCAAGCCACCAGGTCCAGGACTTGAACTCTAGTCGTCCAGTACCCTTAAACACCATGCCACCTGCCGACCCCCGGTCCCAGTGATTTTCAAGCCTCCAGGTTCAGGACTCAAACTGCTGTTGGCCACATAGGAGTCCAGGGCCTTAGCCACTACGCCACCTGCTGGCTCCACCCAGGAACCTTTTCAACAGCAGGACCTGCCTTCCACTATTCAGGACCCCTTGGGCCCACATGAACTCCTTGTTCTTGCGCAGTGATGTGCAGTTTGTAGAATTCACTTAGTCTCGTTTGCCACTTTTCCTACACCGCAGGTGAAACCAGTCCAGAGAAGGTAGAGAGTCCCTGGGTCCCCCACAAGCCAGCCCTGCAGACCGCACTGGTGGGTGACGATGGCACTTGTCACGCTCACAGACCCCCCGGGGGGGTGGCCACGCCGCAATCCCCTCTCCTCCGTTCTCCTCTCAGGATCTTGGGCACGCACAAGTGCCCAGCGTGAGTTTAAGCCACCGGGTCCGGGACTAGAACCGCGGTCGACTACATGGGAGTCTAGCGACGTAGCCATTAGCCGACTGCTGGTCCTGCAAGCTGATAGTTTAAAAACTGCTGACTAGAACCTAACCATTGTAGCCCTGATGACCAGGACGACTTGAAAAACTGTGCTTTAGACTAAGACAGAGGGAACAAAAGCCTTTCTCAGACATGTCAGGCGGACGCAAGTCTGAGCTTTATCTAATTCATCCTTAGCGAGCCAGGAAGTTGTCAGATCCAATTTACAAGAGATCCAGAGAGGGTTCTAGAAGACTACAGATCAGGAATTTTGAAATGAATGTACTATTGGCGGCTTCTTCAACAGTGGGGGAATTTATTTATGTGTCTGTATTTGCATGAAAAGACAAATGTATTTGTCTATAGACTAGAACTGTTTAGCATTGTTTCCAGTTTTCTACAATTTACAGAGTTGTGAAAATATCTTGGAATCAATGAAAGGCCACAGACAGATAGCCTGGAAGCTTATCTATGTCCTAAACTCTACAAGCTTCCCATTTAAATACAAACTTTCCATTCAGTCTCAGAATCAATGAACTTTTTTCTTTCTTTCTTTCTTTTTTTTTTAGGTTTTTCGCATAGAGCACATGCACTTACCAAAGAGATACAGAGAGAGGAGGGCCAGCAGGTGGCATGGTGGCTAAGGGCACTGGCCCACATGGCCAATCGCGGTTTGAGTCCCAGACCTGGCAGCTTGCTTTCTCACTTTCCCTCCCTCTCTCTCTTTTCTGTCCCTTTCTGGTCAAATTAAATTAAAATAAATAGGGGCCAGCAGTTGGTGTGGTGGTAAAGGTGCTAGACTCCCACATGGCCAACCATGGTTTGAGTCCCGGACCTGGTGGCTTGTTTTCTCACTTTCCCTCTCTCTCACCCCCGTCTCTCTTTAGTCGAATTGAAAATGATAATAATGATAAATAAAGAAAATTAATAATTCTTTTAAAAAAATAAATAAAGTTAAATAATTATTTTTAAAAAGAGAGTGAGAGAGACCAGCAGTTAGCGTGATGGCTATGTCACTGGACTCCCACATAGTGGACCACGGTTTGAGTCCCAGACCTGGTGGCTTAAACTCACACCGGGCGCATGTGTGTGCGTGCCCAAGATCCCGAGAGGAAAACGGAGAAGGGATTGCAGCGTAGCCATCCCCCCTGGGGGGTGATTTCTTGCTTTCTGTCTCTCTGTCTGTCTGGCAAGCTCACGCACCGTATAGCAAAAACCTCTCCAAAAAAACAAGAGAGAGCAGAGAGAGAGAGAGACAGAGAGAGAGAGATCCAGAGAGAGGGAAAGTGAGAAATCACCCCCTAAGGAGAATGGCCATGCCTCAATCCCTTATCCTCTTAGGATCTTGGGCACACACATGCACATGGACCTTGCTTTTCAAGCCACCAGGTCTGGGACTCAAACCACAGTCAGCCATATGGGAATCCAGCTTCCTTAACCATCACCCCACTGCCTGCCCCCAGTGAACCCTATTTTTTAAAATGAAATACAGGGCCAGCACATGGCATGGTGGTTAAGGCAGCTGGATTCCCACAGGACCAAGCCCGGTTCGAGTCCTGAACCCTGTAGCCTGAAATTCATGCCAGGCCCATGTGAATGTCTGCCCAGGATCCCAAGAGGAGAATGAAGGGATCGTGGCATAGCCACCATCTCTGGTGGGTGGTTTCTCACTTTCTCTGTGTCTCCTGCAAGTGCACACTCTCCATAGCAAAAAATTAATCTCTCTTCCAAAAAAAATGAAAAAATGAAATGTGGCTGGTCTCATCTGATATGCCTGATTACTTACATAGGCACGATGGTCGTGCAAATCCACTAAATAGGTCTACTTGAGGTTTTTGGGAGTCTTCATAAGAACTCTTAGATTAGAGGCCAGCAGGTAGTGTGGTGGTGAAGGTGCTGGACTCCCACGTGGTCAGTCGCAGTTTGAATCCTGGAGCTGGTGCCTTGCTTTCTCATTCTCTCTCTCGCATGCATGTGCCCTATAGCAACTTAAAATAATAATAAT